ACGACTGATACTGTTATGACTGATGTTACAAGTTTTAATGTTAGTATTAATAATACGTACAGCGAGTATGCGAATAGTCTGTTGGGTGTTAAATGTGACGCAGCTCATAGTGCGACTATTGTCATTGTTTGTCGAAATTTTACACGATGCTAATGCCAACCCGAAAGGTAATGATACTGCTGCTGCTGCTCTTATCACTAGTATTAATACTCATATTAATACTAATGATCATGTGATGGTCGTAATACGATGAATTATCATGATACTGTTAGCAACATTATACTCGCACTAACAAAACGAATAGTAAAAGTAGTAGTGCGGCTAACTATATGCATAACGCAAACGGGTAGCACTTTCTAGAAGCAGCATAATACTCATACTCCTACGAATCATACGACTAATGGTTTTACTGGTAATGCTAATCATAATGAGAATGATGATAGCATTAATGAGGAGGAGGACGAGGAGGAGCAGGAGCAGGAGCAGGAGCAGGAACAGCAACAACGCACGCTGGACGTGGCGGCGGCGGCGCGCGACGGCGCCATTCACCGCGACGCCGAAGCGGATAAGCGCCAACGCTACCTGGTGGGCCGCTCCGCCGCGCCAGCCTTCCCCATTCCGGTGGAACCGGGTGGGCGGCATTGGCTCGTGGCGCTAAAGTCAGGGGCGGCAAAGAGGGGGGGGATGAGTAGGGGGGGTGGATATCATGGCGTGGGCCATGATTCTTCCCCTGATTTCAAGGCGTCTCTTCGTATTTCATTACGTCCCTCGCCCCTTCGTTTGGCCGTGCACATGCCGCCGGCCATGATTTGTATCCCCCCCCCTTCTTGGACGCCCCCCGCGTGGCCGCCCCCGATAAAGCGCCCACGTTGACTGGCCCGCGAGAGAGCGCGCCAGTTCGGACACGACGCCAGAGCCGAGGTGGCGGCGGGGGCGCTAATTTCGCATTGGGGCGCTGTGCCCAGCGTCGCCTTGCAGGCCGCCACCGGCCAGCAACTGCGGGATGTGCCCGGCCGGGAGCGTGCGTTTGCAGCGGTCGCCGCGCTGGCCGACGCGTTGGGTGGTTAGCCGGCCGGGCGTTCCTGGTCGCCGCGGCCGGGGTGCTGGGCCGTGGTGGAGGTGCACGCCTTCTTCACGCGTTCGTGAAGAACGCCAGACGGGGTGGCGCTGCGGTTCTACAGTGTGCTCGCCGCTCGAGGAGGAGGAGGAGGATGTTGCTGTCTGAGTTAGGAGAGCACGTGAGGAAAGGTGCAGGGAGGCAGCGCAGTAGCGCCGCAGTCGATCGGCACAGACTTCTGTCATAGTTTTGCATACATGCATTCTGCATTGCGTACCGAAGCATCTCCCATCCCACAGATCAAGTTGGTAGCGGAGCGGGCTCTGCCATCCGCGCCCCCCCCTTTGGGGGTTCTTCAGAACAGCCATGAGCCATAAGGGATTTGAGTACGGTTCGAAGAGCAAAAGATTGCGGGGCACCACCTGGAGTGGTACTTCCCTCCCTTTCCCCACGGGCTTTCGGGGTAACCCCACAGCATCCCTCCCCATGGTTTGGTCAAGGTGGCCCCAGCTTGGGGCCCAGACATGGAAGCAACGTATCATTTTCGACGTTGGGTGGAAGATGTTACGATGTGGAGTCTAGGTTCGGATGCCCCCGCGCACAAGCAAGCGCGTCGAGTGGTCTTGTCTCTCGCGGGTACTGCCCGAGCCATGGCCCAAGAGTTGAGTCAAGATTATCTGACCGACGGCGCCGTCATTGAGCTTTGGGACGGCATAGGCCTTCAAAACGTTTCTGGGCTAGGTTTTCTTATCCACAGATTGTCCAAAGGCCATTACTAGCTTTGCGAGTTCCTGCGCACTGGTGGCCCCAAATGTTCATGCGAGCTCAGATTGGGGGGTCCCTACCATAATATGATGATGCGTACAGGCGTCTACGACAGGCCCTAAAACAAACAGCGCATGTCTTGGGAACTGGCCCCAACAATTTTGCCATGATAGTGCAGCAGAATCCTGTGACCGCCCAAGGCCGTGCTGGTAACCTCGTGTCAGGATTGAGATCATGCCATCATTGCTCCGCAGAAACGCAGTTGCATACTCATGTCTTCGCGCTTCGCTTAGCCCACCAGCCCATTCAGAAACGCTGCCCAGGAGAATTGACGGTACATGGGAGGAAGAGGCACCTATAGTGAATCAGAGTGGGCAATCATGGTGGACGTGTGTTAGCGTGTGCGGTGGTAGTAATGTAGAGGTGCGAACGTGGAAACATTGGGTGGAGGAGGGACAGGACGAGAGGGAGGACGATGAGGAGGAAGAGGAGGAGGAGGCGGAGGAGGAGGCGGAAGGAGTGGAGGAGTAGGGGAGGAGTGTTTTCCTTCGAGTTCTTTTGGAAGCGCCTCTGGTCTGGGCCAAGAGAGCAGGAGGAAAAATACGGAGGAAGCAGAGGAACCAGGAACAGTCATTGGGAAAGGTAGAACGGGCATGGGGAGGAAGAGGATGCGGAGAGGGATGGAGCAGGAGAAAAAGCACGAAGATGATACCTAACCAACACATCCAGAAACTATCGTCAGGCGAGTCGACATTATCATAGCAAGTAAGAACATGTTTTGGAACAGCCGCCCACAACGATCGGTAGAACGCCAGTCCATGCAGAAACGATGCCCAGGCGCGCGTCCATGATCAAGGGATTGTCTTAGCACGCATTGGAACAGCCGCGTTGGGAGCGTGGCGGGGGCGCAGAACAGGAGCGGGACATGTGCCCAAGAATTCCACGACGACTCACATGCCGCGGCGGCAATATTGGGCCGCGTTGGCGTTTCGTTCGTGCCATTTCTCCCAGAGGGGACCGTCTCCAGCTTTCGAGTGTGGGGCCCGCTTGCAACCGTTATGGGGTCTTGTGTGGATGCCCGGACAGGTTTCCCTGGCAGTTTCCCCTGATCGGGGAAGAGTGGACGCACGAATTGGAATCTGTTCGGACAACGAACCGAGTTGGAACACGCATTCTACCTACAGGGGGGGAGGGGTGGCGTGCACAGGCGCATCAGTGTAGGCCATAGTCGATGTACCCGCACTTTGTGTCGCGAGCCTCGTACACACCTCATGGGACCACCTTGGGAGTAGTAGTCGAAGCAGCAGTCGTAGGACGTGGAGAGGGAGGAGGATGATAAAGATGAGCGAGGGGGAAGGAGGAGAAGGGAGGAGGAGGAGAGGCAGGAATAAAGGACGGAAGGGAAGAACGAATGAGAACAAGGAGTGTGACGAGGCGGCCGTCGCGGATATGTTGTTATGGGAGGCTCTCGGAGGTCTCTTGGAGACAAAAAAGTCGCTCTTTGGGGGCCTTTGCGGGACCTTCTGGGGCACTCTTGGGGCTCTGTTGTGGTGGCCGGGGGGAGTCTTCGAGGACTCTTGGGGCAACATTGGGCCCCATGGCTACAAACGAGGGGGGTACTCAATTAAGACGCCCCCCCCCACTGTCGCTGGGGCGCTGTTTTAGCACTCTTGGGTTTCTTGGGGCACTGTTTTAGCACTATTGGGCGTTCTTGGGGCCCTCTTGGGCCTCTCTTGGGGGCTCTTTTGGACCATCCTGGGGCCATCTTGAGGCCGCCAAGCGGCGAGAAGACGAATCACATTGATATGTTTTCGGTTGTTTAAGGGTTGTGGCCTCTTGGGGGATACTTTGGACGGCTCGACTGGCACTTGGAACATTCTTCAGACTGCCTTGGGGCCTCGTGGAGGTCTGTCGGATGCTATCTTGGGCCATGCTCGGCTATCCCTGGCCTTCTGAAAGGCAAGACTGGGCTATCTAGGACCCTCGCGTAGCCATCCAAGGCCATCTTGGACACACTGACCGATCGCGCCTCTCACCCCCTTCCAGGCCCAACGCCCTCTCCCGAGCAACGGAAGGCGGGGATTTGTAGTGCAGAAGAGACGATCTCGTACAACCACCTACGCGTCGAGGGCTTGTGGGATTCCATGACTGTGGTTCTTATATCAAGCTGCCTGCGGCAAGTCCCGCCACCGTGCCAGCCCCGCATTGTTTTTGGCGATCGTTCGAAAGGGCCCGGGAGGCCGTTACGTGTGGTACCTGAGGAGGAGGAGGAGGAGGAGGAGGAGGAGGAGGAGGAGGAGGAGGAGGACGGCCGTCACATGTGACACCTTTCGTCTTTACTATTTGAGGTGTTATCATGGAACTCGTTTGGGCCGTCTTGGTCCTGTCTCGGTCTCCAGAGACGCTGCCTTGGGCATCCCTGTGGGCCCTCTTGAGCCGTCTTGGGGCCCTCTTACGCTGTCTTGGGGCTCTCTTGGGCCGTGTTGAGGACCTCACGGCTCTATGGTGGGTGTTTGGGGGCCGTCGTGGGATCGTTTTGGTGCCATCTTCGGCAGTCGAATGGCCTTTTGTGACCCTCTTGGGTCCGACGGGAGGCCCTCTTGGGCCGTCTTGGGATCGTCTTGGATGCCTCTTGGGCCATCGTGGAGTCATCTTGGGCCATCCGTGGGACTCTCTTGGGGGCCTCTTGAGCCGTCGTGGGGCCATTGTGGAGGCGTCTTGGGCAGTCTTTAGCTGAGCGAAGCGCGAAAAGGCGAGAATGCGAACATTTTTCAACCACCTGAAGACATACATGAGGTTGGCTTGTTCGGACCCTCTTGGAGGTCCTCGTGTGGCCCTGTGGGCCCTCTTGGCGGCATCTTGGGCGATCTTGAGGCCATGTCCGGCCGCCGTGGGTTCATCTTGGGTTGCCTTCGAGGCATATTGGGCCATCGTGGTGTCATGTGTTGCCTGCGTGGGCCGTCTTGGGAGCTTGGGACGCGGGGATATCGCTTTTACAAGGGGCTGTGGCCTCGGGACAGTGAATCCACAGCTTCTTACTTACGTGGGGGGGTCCTGTGCTAGAATACAGGAACCTTGGCAGACAGCACTTGACATTCTGTCACTCCTCAACGTGTCAGGGGGTACTGAGGCCGTTTGTGCATGCCTTATCTCTCCTTGGGAACAGCGTTGCGTTCAGGAAGTTGTTGGACTCTCTCATGGGTGGCCACCGCAACGCGGGCTTGAAGGAGGCCAAGAAGAGGCGATCCGATCAGAGTTTTGCCAGTGCCGAGCGATTGCTAACCATGTATTGTGCGGTGGAGAGCATTGCCAATTGATTTCCACATGCAGTGCTTGCAATAAGTGGGTCTCTGCTACGTGTCGGTAATGTTCCTGGGGCGCCATGAGCTGATACTCCCAGCTGTTCCCCGACGTTCGCAAGGGATTGCGTGAATCTGGTGTTCACACCTGTTCGCCGTTGGTTCTATTGCGTCAGGGACGTCGGGGATTTGGTCGATCGTGTGCTGCGGACTACGGGACGGGCTGAACGGACCTTCGCGCGCAAGTTGCATGCGTAAGACCGCGCGCAAGCGCTCTCTTCTCCATGCGGTGTGCCCCGCTGGCGGCCTACGTACGCCATCACGCAAGGCCGTCGTATCCTCTCGCGTAAGACCTCTTTTTCCTCGCCCCCCAGATCTTCATGCCGCGCCCGTGGTGCCAGGTATTTGTTCCTGGCTGTTTTTCTTGCCGCAGCGGTGGGTATTTCTTTGGTTAGTGTGTCCTGCGTTTTTCTCAGATGTTTTTGTCGCATCTGGCCGCTAGGGGTTCGCTTGGCCCAGGTGCTCCACGCTGTGCCTGGACGTTGAGCCTGGGGCGCCCAGTGTTCTCACCTGCTCTTGCCGCACCCTGTGCGCCATGGGTCCGGCTTGGTTCGCGTATATGTGGTTGTTCTCACCTAGCCGTTGGGTGTTCGGTTGGTACCAGTTGTTCTGTATTGTTCTCCGATGTGTTTTTGGCTGCCAGGGGCTGGCTTGGCTATGGTGGCTGGTTGTTCTCGGTTTCCCCTGTCGGTGGACAATGTTGAACGTGCTGTCGTTGGGGATTTCTGGTGACATGTTCAGGAGGGGAATTAGCCTGACGAAAGACCCAACCATGCGTAGTTGTGAATACCGCACTTGTAGATATATTCCTTCGGTGGAGCTCCCTATGGGGCCACGAAACGTGTGAGGGGTGTGCCAGAATTGGGGGTGGAACCGCATGCGAGCGCAGCCACTGGGGCCTTCGGTGGAGCTCCCTATGGAGCCACGAAACGTGTGAGGGGTGTGCGAGAATGGGGGGTGGAACCGCATGCGAGCGCAGCCACTGGGGCGTTCGGTGGAGCTCCCTGTGGGGCCACGAAACGTGTGAGGGGTGTGCCGGAAAGAGGGTGGAAACGCATGCGAGCGCAGCCACTGGGGCGTTCGGTGGAGCTCCCTATGGGGCCACGAAACGAGTGAGGGGTGTGCCGAAATGGGGGGGTGGAACCGCATGCGAGCGCAGCCACTGGGCGTTCGGTGGAGCTCCCTATGGGGCCACGAAACGTGTGAGGGGTGTGCCAGAATGGGGGGTGGAACCGCATGCGAGCGCAGCCACTGGGGCCTTCGGTGGAGCTCCCTATGGAGCCACCCAGGGGTGGAACCGCATGCGAGCGCAGCCACTGGGGCGTTCGGTGGAGCTCCCTTGGGGCCACGAACGTGTGAGGGGTGTGCCGAGAATGGGGGGTGGAACCGCATGCGAGCGCAGCCATGGAGCTCCCTGCAGCCCACCGCATGGGGTTCGGTGGAGCTCCCTGTGGGGCCACGAAACGTGTGAGGGGTGTGGGGGTGGAACGAGCGCATGCGCACGCTCACTCTTCGGTGGAGCTCCTATGGGGCCACGAAACGTGTGAGGGGTGTGCCGAAATGGGGGGGTGGAACCGCATGCGAGCGCAGCCACTGGGGCGTTCGGTGGAGCTCCCTATGGGGCCACGAAACGTGTGAGGGGTGTGCCAGAATGGGGGGTGGAACCGCATGCGGGCGCAGCCACTGGGGCCTTCGGTGGAGCTCCCTATGGGGCCACGAAACGTGTGAGGGGTGTGCCGAATGTGGGGGTGGAACCGCATGCGGCGCAGCCACTGGGGCCTTCGGTGGAGCTCCCTATGGGGCCACGAAACGTGTGAGGGGTGTGCCAAATGGGGGGTGGAACCGCATGCGAGCGCAGCCACTGGGGCGTTCGGTGGAGCTCCCTATGGGGCCACGAAACGTGTGAGGGGTGTGCCGAAAAGGGGGGTGGAACCGCATGCGAGCGCAGCCACTGGGGCCTTCGGTGGAGCTCCCTTTGGGGCCACGAAACGTGTGAGGGGTGTGCCGAAATGGGTGCAGGGGCCGCATGCTGATGATGATGCTGCTGATGATGATGATGATGATGATGATGATGATGATGATGATGATGATGATGATGATGGTAATATTGATGGTGATGGTGATGGTGATGGTGATGATGCGGAGGATGATGATGATAATGATTATGATGATGATGCTGATTCTGATGATGATGCTCATGATGATGATGATGAGGAGGATGACAATGATGATGATGGTGGCGACAACGGCGATGATGATGGCGATGATGGTGATGATGACGATGATGACGATGATGACGACGATGATGACGATGACGATTACGACGATGATGGTGATGATGATGACGATGATGATGATGATGACGGGAGGAGGGAGGAGGGGGGAGGAGGAGGAGAGGAGAGGAGATGAGGACGCGGGGCACCGTCTCTTCAAAACGAGGACCCAACACCACAGGATGGTTGGGAAAAACACACAGACACAATTAATCGTCGATTCCTCAGAATATATGGGAACATGTGGGAGGTGGGGGTGATGACAAAAAACCAGAAATTAGCCTGACGAAAGACCCAACCATACGTAGTTGTGAATACCGCAAGTGTGGATATATTCTTCGGTGGCGCCCCCGGGCCACGAACCGAGTGAGGGGTGTGCCGAAACGGGGGGGTGGAACCGCATGCGGGCGCAGCCACTGGGGCCTTCGGTGGAGCTCCCTATGGGGCCACGAAACGTGTGAGGGGTGTGCCAGAATGGGGGGTGGAACCGCATGCGGGCGCAGCCACTGGGGCCTTCGGTGGAGCTCCCTATGGGGCCACGAAACGTGTGAGGGGTATGCCAGAATGGGGGGTGGAACCGCATGCGGGCGCAGCCACTGGGGCCTTCGGTGGAGCTCCCTATGGGGCCACGAAACGTGTGAGGGGTGTGCCAGAATGGGGGGTGGAACCGCATGCGGGCGCAGCCACTGGGGCCTTCGGTGGAGCTCCCTATGGGGCCACGAAACGTGTGAGGGGTGTGCCAGAATGGGGGGTGGAACCGCATGCGGGCGCAGCCACTGGGGCCTTCGGTGGAGCTCCCTATGGGGCCACGAAACGTGTGAGGGGTGTGCCAGAATGGGGGGTGGAACCGCATGCGGGCGCAGCCACTGGGGCCTTCGGTGGAGCTCCCTATGGGGCCACGAAACGTGTGAGGGGTGTGCCAGAATGGGGGGTGGAACCGCATGCGGGCGCAGCCACTGGGGCTTCGGTGCTCCCTATGGGGCCACGGTAGGGGTGTGCCAGAATGGGGGTCATGCGGGCGCAGCCACTGGGGCCTTCGGTGGAGCTCCCTATGGGGCCACGAAACGTGTGAGGGGTGTGCCAGAATGGGGGGTGGAACCGCATGCGGGCGCAGCCACTGGGGCCTTCGGTGGAGCTCCCTATGGGGCCACGAAACGTGTGAGGGGTGTGCCAGAATGGGGGGTGGAACCGCATGCGGGCGCAGCCACTGGGGCCTTCGGTGGAGCTCCCTATGGGGCCACGAAACGTGTGAGGGGTGTGCCAGAATGGGGGGTGGAACCGCATGCGGGCGCAGCCACTGGGGCCTTCGGTGGAGCTCCCTATGGGGCCACGAAACGTGTGAGGGGTGTGCCAGAATGGGGGGTGGAACCGCATGCGGGCGCAGCCACTGGGGCCTTCGGTGGAGCTCCCTATGGGGCCACGAAACGTGTGAGGGGTGTGCCAGAATGGGGGGTGGAACCGCATGCGGGCGCAGCCACTGGGGCCTTCGGTGGAGCTCCCTATGGGGCCACGAAACGTGCATGAGGGGTGTGAGGGGTGTGCCAGAATGTGGGGTGGAACCGCATGCGGGCGCAGCCACTGGGGCCGTCGGTGCAGCTCCCTATGGGGCCACGAAACGTGTGAGTGGCGCGGCGCTGACGATGGCGATGGCGATGATGATCATGATCATGATCATGATCATGATCATGATCATGATCATGACATGATCATGATCATGATCATGATGATGATGATGATGATGATGATGATGATGATGATGATGATGATGATGATGGTGATGGTGATGGTGATGGTGATGATGATGATGATGATGATGATGATGATGATGGTGATGATGGTGATGATGGTGATGATGGTGATGATGGTGATGGTGATGGTGATGGTGATGGTGATGGTGATGGTGATGATGATGATGATGATGATGATGATGATGGTGATGATGATGATGATGATGGCGATGATGACGATGACGATGACGAGGAGGAGGAGGAGGGAGGGGGCAGCGGGAGGAAGGAAGGAGACGCGGGGCACCGTCTCTTCAAAACGAGGACCCAACACCACAGGATGGTTGGGAAATATATGAACATATTGGGAATCCTGTCATTAGTGTTTAGTTATGTGTGTGTCCCATGGCCCCTTCATTGGTGATCCACGCGCCGCGCCCTCTGGTCGTTCGGCACAGGGGATCTCCTGGAGCGTTATGTGTTGGTTCACGTGGTAAGTAATGTACAGTGCAATCGAGTGCAATCGAGAGGCGTACAGTCATACCGCATAGTCAGGATGGGCAGCATTCCTAAGGGTACCCTTGCACCCTTGCCTTCTTGGCCCATCCTCGGCCAGTTTCGTTGGCTGCGCCCCGCTCGAAAAGCTTCGAACTGGGCGTCCAAGGCCCTTGCATCCTTATCGCTCGTCCTTACTATACGGGTTGACTGCAGTGCACTCGAGAGCCGTAGATTGCACATCGTCCAAGCTCGCCTGATCTCCTCTACGTGTGGCATGTCAGCTTCTGCATGTTCCTGAACAGTTCTTCGACGTTTGTGTGCTCTTCCCGTTTTGTGAATCGGCCACCGCAATTTGGTGATTAGGGTTGTTGCAATGCGCATTCTAAGTTACACTGCTTCGCATGCCAATGCTATATAGAGTAACTGATTGTGACGACTCATCATTTCAGGTTTTTTGTTTCTTCTACGCCATTTACGAACTGTGAGTTGTCAATAGTTGTGGGTTGGCGGCAAAGCTTTCACCATGTCTGACATATTTGACGAGTTGGTTTGCTAATTGTTTCGGCAAGCGTGCGCTCAAGCGCCCGGAAGTATTGAGCAGTCTAGCGTATTATCATCATGTCTTGGATGCAGTGTCCCACCAGTCTGTCGTGTTGTTTGCATTCACGCTTCTGCGGCTAGGAAAGGGAACAACTTCAAAGACGACAACGTTTGCAAGTTTTATCTGGTCGGGTTTTGCCCAGCTCACGAGGACAGTCCATGCCGTGTGGAGAGGGCAGCAGCAGCAGCAGCAGGCGCCGTTGTGCAGGCTCATGTTCGGCAGTTTGGCACCGGCGAGGGGCCGACATCAGAGTTAAGTCGGGCGTGTCCCTCTACAGGAGGGATATTCAAGAATAGTCCAACAAATATTCTGAGGACTATTTTGTCGCCTATTTTTGAGCATTTGGGGAGTATGTTTCAAGCATTTTTATTTTCTTCGCCCAAAATCCCCCTGTAGGGGGACAGGCCCGACTTAACATCAGAGACGCCGGCGAGAGGGAACAGATGGCCACGAGAGAGGAAGGCAGGCGAGGGCAGGGAAGGAGGAGGCCTCGCGGGCGGGAAACGTGTCCATCCACGGGCACAGGGCCTCGCGGCCCGGGCCAGATGCGGTCGGGGGCGGCAAAAGAGGGGGGTGATGATTAGGGGTGTGTGGATATCATGGCGTGGGCAATGATATTTCCCCTTCATGGCGCCTGTTCTCGTTTCATTACGTCCCTGGCCCTCCCGCTGGGCCGCGCACATGCCGCCGGTCATGATTTGCACCCCCCCTCTTGGACACCCCCCTCTTGGCCGCTCCCGATACGGGGCGTTTCTGCGAGGATGCCCCACGCGGGACTCATCCATGCGACATCGTATGCACGGGATCGCTCCCCGTAACTCGGGCCGGACGAAAGGGGGGGGATTGGGAAAGGGGGGGTTACGACATTTGCTGCATACAGCTGGTTTCGGCCCCACCGAGGGGCCCATTCCTCGATGCATGGGCGCCTCGGGCGCCGGGAGGCGCCGGGAAACTCAGTTGCGTGAGCTGATTCTCAACCCCCCCTTTGCTATTCCCCCCCTTTCACCCGGCCCGAGTAACCATCCACACCGTGAGACGTGTGGATACAAGTCTGTTCGCCGCTCGCGGAGGCCACGACGAGACAACGAGCTGACATGGGAGCGAGTCAGGAGGGGCCCACGGCCACGCCCGGGGGGGGGGGAGCTGGCGTTAGGTTGGGCGTGTCCCCCTACAGGGCGATGTTGGGCGAAAAAGCAAACATATCTTCAAAATATTCCAAACTGGTAAAGAATACTTGAAACATTGTCCCTAGGCTATTTTTTGACTACTTTGGAATATTCCCCCTGTGGAGGGACACGCCCGACGTAAGGCCAGCGCGAGAAAGTGCGGCCGCGCTTCCGCGCGTCGTGGCCGAAGGCCGCGCGGTGGGGTCCGAGCAGATGAGGTCGGGGGATCGCGTCGCGTCGCCGATGCATCGGCGGTGCGTCTCGATGTGGAGCTCGCTGTTCTCGACGGGAACGGCGGCGATGCGGCGCCGACGTTGCCGATGCATCGGCGATGCCACGAGATCCGTCTACCCCATCCACTCGAGCCCCACTTGGGAGGCCTCCAGCGGAACGACAGCCTGGAGGAGCGTGGTTGGAGGGGCAGTTCGCTGTCTTTTTTTCCCGCGCCCTGTCCTCCCTGGGGTCGCAGATTGCCGCATGCAGCGCCGCCGGGAAGTTTGTCAAGCTGCCTGCGGCAAACCCCGTCGCTGTGCTTGTGCAACAGTGTAGCAGGAAGGAGGCTGAGTGCAGTAACAGCGCAATTCCGACGAGTAGTCTGCATTGGGGCGGGTCGTAATCCCGACCTCGTCTTCGTCCGCGCAGTAGGGAGAAGGAGGATGAGGAGGAGTAGGAGATGGAGAACATGAGGATGAGGAGGAGAAGGCTCCTTGGGGCCTTCTTGGGGCCTCCTGGGGGCCTCCTGGGAGCTTCCTGAAAGCTTCTTTGGGGCCTCGTGGGGGCCTCAAGGGGCCTCAAGGGGCCTCTTTGGGGCCTCTTGGGACTCCTTGGGACGTCTTAGTGGATTCTTGGCCCGTCTGACGCCTATGGATGCCGACTTGGGCGCCTCTCAGGTCGTATTGGTACCCGCTTGAAGCCGTTCACGGCCGTCTTGGGGTCTTCTTGCGAGCCCCTTTGGTGATCTTTGGACCGTTTGGGCCGACTTGAAGCCCTCTGCGGGGTCTCTTGGGCTGTCTTGAAGCCATCTTGGAGGCCTCTACTCTTGGAGGCCCCTTGGGCCGTCTTGGGTGGTCGGACAGGCGAGAACCTGAACATCGTACAAACACCTACGGACAATTCATGGTGTTGGCCTCCTCGGGCCCTCCAGGAGGGTCTCTTGGAGCCGTCGTGGGCCGTCTAGGGGGCTTCTTGATCTGCATCGAGGCTGTCTTGTGAGCCTCTTGAGCCGTATTGGGCCATATTGGGCCATCTTTTGGTGTCATCTTGATTGCCTCGAACGCCGTCCTGGAGGCTTGGAGGTTCCCAAGAAGGCCTCCAGACAGATCAAGAGGCTCCAGAGACGGCCCAAGAGGTCTCCAAGAGGCCTTCCAGGAGAGCCCGAGGGGGCCAAAACCATTGATTGTCGCCGGGCTGTTGTAGGTTTTGATTCCGAACCACTCACGCCGCAAAGGGTCGGTGGGATTCCACGGTAGGCTGAATTCTCGGGGCCTCCATTTGTCCTCGTTTGTCCCGTTGCCTCTGGGCACCAGGGATTCCTTTGGGCTGGTCCGCGACTATTTGCAGTTCGGGTGCTTGCCTTCCGCGGACGCCGACTCCATTCGGTCACTGTTGCCCCAAACTATCTCCAGCCATGTCGTTGCTTGCTCGCAGCGGCTGTCACCCTCAATCCATTGGCCCTGTCCCCGAGTGCCAATGGTCAATGGCCATGCTGGTTGCCATTCGTCGCCGTCATGTCATGATCTATCTGCTCCTCCTCCTGGTGATCAGTGCTTTTGGCTCGAGCTGCCTTTTATTCGCAGCTGTCGTAGCGTCATGCTTTAGAGCCTATCCCTTCTCCTTCCCCCAGACACCCGACGACAGGTTTTCCCACTGCCCGGCCTCACAGAAGCCCCGACCCCTTCCCCAGGGACAGCATTTCTAGGGGAACGAAGAATGGTGCGCGGAGCGCGCCAGGGGCGGCGCCAGAGGCGCCGCCAGGGGGGTCCAGCGCGGATCCTAGAAATCCGCGCGGACCTCCGAGTTCTGATGTTCATGTCATTCTTCATCCCCCTCGCCCCAGGCTCATCTCCTGATGGCCCCGGAGGCCGGGATCGCGAGGAACAGCGCCAGGCGATTGACGATAACAACTGGGTCCGCGAGGAAAAAGCTTCTCGTCGGAGATTTGGGTCCTTCCCCTCCCCGCCTCCCCTCGCTATCCTTGCCCTGGGCGGCCATGGCACGCCCGGCAGGGCAGCCCGTCGCACGAGACCGGCCGTGCAGCGCGGGCGCGGCCGGTGCCCTCCACGAGGGCGAGACCTTCGACGCCTTGCGGCGGCCCTCCGGGCTGGCTGGGCACCACGGCGCACCCGCGGGGGCCCCCGCGGCGGCAACGCACCCGCGGGCCCAGCTGCCGTTGGCGCTGCTGGCGCCGCCGCCGGGCTTGGCACAGCCGCCGACGGCGGGCGCGAGCGGCTCTGTGGCCACGCCGGCCCCGAGCGACAGCGGCGGCGCCTGCGAGCGGTGCGGCCAGCAGGAGATGCTGCACAGGTGCGGCCACTGGCGGTGCGTCACGCCGACGTGCAGGCCCGCGTGGTTCCAGGACATGGAGGCCAAGAGCTGGCTCGTGCCGAGGTCACTGGAGCGCATGCTCGACGCGCACCTCTTCGAGACCCTCGACCGCTGCGAGGACTGCCGGCCCGAGGGGCGGTGCCTGCGGGCCGACGCCGGCGCCCCCCGGTACTGCAACTTCGTGTTCAAGAGGGGCACCTGCAAGTTCGGCTCCAAGTGCCCCGACTGCCACCTGCACGGCCGCGGGGTGACCCACCTGGGCAGGCCAGGCGCGGGAGACAGCGCAGCGCAGCAGGGCGCGGCCGCCGGCCGGCCGGGCGGCGGGGGCCCCTCGGCGACGACCTGCCCGTGCAGCCTTCACGCGCCGCCCAATCCCCCCCTGCCGCTGCGGCTGGTCGGCCTGCACTCGCCCCCAGAGGTGCACCCGCAGCCGCGGCCAGCCACGAAGGGCGCGCCGCCGCTGCCGGAGGAGGACTCCTGGTCCGTGTAGGGCTGCGGGCGTCGTGGCGGCAGGAGCCCCCCGGGCTGCGAGCCCCGCCGTCGTGCGCTCTGCCCCCGGGGGGGGGTATCTCCCGCCGTTGCGAGGGGGGCGCCCATGCTCTCCAAGGCCGCCTCAATGGTCCTCCTCGTCCTGGTTCGAGCTCGTTTCTCGAAGTCTACAGTGGGGGTCCCATTCCAAGAAACACCCTGCTTGCCTCCAGGGTGCCCTGGGTTTCTTGGCTTTCGACGGTTTCGCTGTGGAAGGCGTGCTGCTCCCGCACCAAAAATCAAGGGACGCTCTGGGGTCTCAGGCTTGGGTTTCTTGTGGAAGGTTTCTTGTGGTCGGGCCCCTACTGTAATGATCCTCCCCATCCTGGTTCGACCTTGTTGCTCTAAGTCTATGTCCAACCCTCCTCTTGCTCTGAAGGGCGCCGTCGAGTATAGCGTTTCGCGCAGAGTTTGCGGAGGCCTCGACGCAGTCACCGTTTGTGCCGGCTCCGTCTTGAGCGAGTCGGCAGATTCATGTATCGTGGCATGAGCGAGTCCTTCCAATTTCTAGTGCGGCAATGCTGAGAACAGGTTGGCCGCCTGCGCCGGAGAACTATGGAGTTCAACGGCGAAATCGCTAATTTTGAATTCATGGCCACGTTCAGTGGGTTCACGCAGCGGACACCGAGCGACACATGGCGCACAGGAGAGCTGCAGACATGAGCGTCCAGGACTCACCCAACGAGGGTATCATTCTGTCGCTTGAGCAGCAGGCGGTGGATTCCCGAAAGAAATGCTAAAAGTCTCGCCTTCCCGCGCACGTCGCGGGCCGAGGTGGCGTGAGTTCACTGCAAAGCTACTTCTGCTCTTCATGTCGCGATTCCGCGCGAATGTGCCGTCACGCTTGTCGGATGCTCGCATCGTGCAGGGGGAGGGGTGGGGGGGGGGCGGAGGTGCCTCCGGAGAGATGCTTTGGAGCTCCGTTCCCCAAGCCCTTGGTTTGTGCGTCACCACCGCTCCACTGCCTGAGCGGAAAGCGGCACGTGGATGGATCTGGCAGAGCAAGGTGAGCGCGTGCTGGGCCCGATGAGCCGGGTGGCCCAGCGGGTGGGTGCTGCGCAAGAGGCGAGGCCGTGCTTAAAACCAAAGCGAGGGGGCCGACACGCACCAGCCGCGTCAAGCGCGGTGGCGTATTCTGTTTGTCGGCGGGCTTGTCAGGAGGGCCTCACGGAATCACCTCGACTCGCAGGGCTGCGGTACGTGGCGCTGCTTCGCGCAACGGCCGGTGACGATACCTTGCGTCTCATGTTCCAGCACGCCTCGTTTGCCAGCGCCATGTGCAACGGAGCATGGACTCGGCGAGTGGGAGGCATCCGGAGTCGATTCGCAGGATCGCGGTGCGTGGCGCGGCTTGGCTCGACGCTCTGCATTCCTACGTGATCGCTTGGCCTCGCCGCAATGACAGCTCTCCTTCTGGCCTCGGCGCCGTTCGAAAAGTTGTTTACGAGGGCCGCTTGGCCTGGCACGCTGCGAGCGCATACTGAATTGCGCCGAGCCGAGGCTCCAGCGTTCACAATCGCAACGCCCATTCCGACTCGTGTTTTTTTCGAGTGTCCTCGCAGACCCGATTTTATGATTTTGCAGGTATATCTGCGCTAAGCAGACGGTTCCCGTTGCCCTTCTCAACCTCGCCTCCACCCCACCCGATTCCCTTCGCCTCCCCCTCCTCCTCCGCATCCCCCTCCTCCTCGTCATCCCCCTCACTCGCTCTCCGCTCCGTCGAGGGAAGAAGCACTTCATCCGCCCGCCTTGCTCTCATGCGTGCAGCTTGCGTCGCGGCGCAGTGCTGGTCGAGCTCTGCGCAAATAAGCGCAGAGATCTGGCTAGTTTGATGCACGCAAGCACTTCGACCAGCAGGATTGCGGTGCATGTTGCGCGGCTTGGTGCGACGCCCAGTATCCTAGCGATACAGTTGCGGCCTGCCGATTTCGGCGTGTCAGCGAATTGACTCGCCTTCTTTCTGCTTTTTTGGTTTTGTGCCCTCGTGAATTCGCGGCACCGGACGTCCTCCTTACCATTGGTTGGCGCTGAGAGTGCAGACGAAATTGCGCCGAGTTGAAGCTCCAGCGCGTATGAAAGCCGCGCCAGTTCCAACGCGGATTTTTTAATTCTTGACGCTTCGCGTACCCTCATCAGACCATCCAGGAACGATATCCAAGCAAATTGCTTCGGTCAGCCAAGCGTAGGAGCTCGGGGGCGTCCTTGGGAGGCTTCGTGGCTACTTGGAGGCGTCTTGGGGCGGTATCGGGGCCTCTTGGGGAAAATGTTGGAGTCCCTCTTGGGTCATCCTGGGTGTCTCTTGATACCCTCTTGAGGGGACCTCTTGGAGGTATCTTGGGCTAAACGTTGCCCTCTCACACCTTGCCGCACCCCCTGCCAAGACCCAGAGGAAGCAGGTAGGGGAAGGGGTGTAAACCCTTCTCGGAAGGGTGAGAAGGGGGTTGGTGGAACAGGAAACGCTCTCAACCGCCTCCGCCCAGAGGGATGGCGTCCAGGCGCTGTCGGTGGATGACTCCATCTTTTGGGCTCTGACGGTCAAACTTTTTGGAGCTGACGGTCACTCCGTGCACGATGCGGTCAGCGCTTGATTTGTCCAGAAGGCCTTTCCTTGACTTCATACTCACCCTCCTGCTCCTGCGCCCCGTTTCGCGCCTACGACATCTTCCTTTGTTCCTGAAAGCGCCGTCTGGAGACGAGTGGTTTGCAACTGCACCTCGTACTTCGCCGCAACTAACGGAGGCCTCGACGCAGTCACCGTGTGTGCTGGCGTTCCATTATTGGAGTCGCTTGCTTCCCGTCTTGTGGCAAGTGCGAGGTTGTCGTGTGGCACGGCTGCGCATGGGAGCCAGCGAGTGCTTCTAATGAGTTACACAGTAGTCCATGTTGCGAGCCAGTATTGGGGACCACGATAGCGCGAGTTCACGAAGAAGCTGTAATATTCACAAGCAGTGGTTGCATTTGGGGTATATGACTTGCGCGGGTCGGGCCGCTGTCGCGAGCAGCTATCCCACCACGCAACCACTACGCATGGACTCCATTCACAGGGGAAACACCCCGCTTGCTCCAAGCCGAGGTTCAACACTTGTGGGGCCCCAGGCTCGTACCTCGGGCCACACACATTCGGAATCCAGCATGGTCGCACCCACGGGGACTCACGCACAGAAAGGCTCCACGCGTACACATATTTCCACACACAGTGTTCTGCGCGCACGGTTCCACCAACAGGGTCGTCGACAGATGTGCTGTTCACATGGGTAGTGGTCCACAGAATATTGATCCATAGATGCGCGTCTTCTGCGCACATCAGGCTTCGCACCCACGCGCGCAGGTGTCCACACACTTTGTCGCACGGATCTCTTGTTCCTGCCCGGTGTGTTGACATCGTGCCTGGCTGGCACTTGTTGGGGGGGTGAGGCAACTGTGATCTGTGTTCGAGGTGATGAGGTGGGTTCCTGTGGCGCGGCTTGGCGCGACGGTTCGTGACCTTGGGTCTCGTGTTCAAGCGCACGCCCGGCGCGTCGATCATGCGAGGTTCCTTCAGTCCCTCCTCCCTGTCGTGTTTGCCGACGAGAGGTGGGCATGCTGCTTCGCCTGGGACTTCTCCATCACTCATGATTTGGGAGCTTGAGATTTGCAGCAGCTGCCGGGAAGGAGGGGTTCTGGTTCTGAGGATGGGGCTCCCACTAAAGCGTCGCGCGCATTCGTCTCAAACTTCTGCGAACGATTCAAGGATGGAAATGGGGATATTTTTGTTCAATGTTTTTTTCGTAGCGCCGCGCACAGTTGTCTTATAAGTTCCAACAGCTCAGACGATGAAGGGGGAGGTGTTGTCAAATTCGGGCGCTCTCTTTAGCAGCGCTCCCTTTCGTTTTGAAAGCTGCAGCAGCTTCCATGATGGATGGGGGGGGGTCCAAATGGGGCATTCGCCGTAGCGCCGCGCACGTCGTCTTCACAGTTAGTGGATGGACGTTGACAGCTTCAGGATGGGGCCCGCAAAGGTCAAAAGCTCCGACCCTGCTCATTTTGGTGTTGTTTGTCCTCGCCCGACCTCTGACGGTCCTCGAGCCTTTTCCCTGGCACCCAGTGGTCGACGTTGACAGCTTCAGGGATGGAGGGGGGCCGAGGAGGAGGAGGAGGAGGCGGAGGAGGCGGAGGCGGAGGAGGAGGCGGAGGAGGCGGAGGAGGAGGAGGAGGAGGAGGACAGAACGAGGCTCTCGTAGGAGCGCCTCCGCTCGAGAAAGTCCAGGAGCTGCAGCGCGTGCAGCCGCTCTGCACGGACGGAGGGCTCCCCATCTCTGCAAGGTGTGGCTCTCGTCTGAGAGTTTTGCTCGGCAATGTGGAGGGCGACCAAACATGAGGAAGCATGTTGCCAGGTAATTCCCAGATGTCTAAGACACGTGTTGTTTTAATCCTTCAACCACATGTTGTAGACATGTTCTGTTCATGTGTCCGACATGTGAAACACATCAGTGATTCGATGATGGGACTCTTAGGGTGTCCACTGTCGTGGCGTCCGCAACATTTGCACTAGCATGCGACGATTGGAGCCCGGCTGTCGGGAGCCGTGTGTCTCGCTGGGCACCCCACCGAACTGCGTGATGGTGTTTCGAAGGCCTTGCGGCCGGTGCTGCCGACCCTGA